GTGATGAACGACATCTGTTCTTGTACACTTGCTAGAACTGTGCTGTTGCTGTATCTTCTTTGTAAAGGTGAGTCAGTTCACTATTTATTGTTAAGTAAAGAAAGCTTAGACATCATACAATACTTAGCAATTATTCGCCGAAGGCGAAGTGAATATCGGGGAATATTTACCGAGACGCGAGTCTTCGAGCGGCGAGGTATATATTCTCCATATTCACTGAGCCTGAGGCGAATAATTGTTTTAGCATATACCAACTCTTGTACAGAGTAACTTATTTTTATATACAATAATTCAATAAATACAAACAAACAGAAACTTTTAGTTTGCGTGACAAATTCACCCAAAACTTTTAGCAAAACTTTTAGGCCATACTTCGTTGCCTTTTTTAGTATTTATAGGAAAGGCATTTACTTTCATTTTTTCGATTTCCTCATCGGAAATTGTAGCAAAACGATTGCCGGCAGATACCATTTTGTTGCGTACAATATTCACCTCCACTGAATTAACCAATGAGCGTGCGCGTCTCTTAGGAAGTACACAAGTTGGTATATGCTAAACATATGTATTTGCAGACTTTCTCCTATTTCCCTGAATTGTTTTCTCTGCGTTTATAGTTACAGGATATATTTGTAATCATAATATACGAGTACTATTTCTCTTACGTATTTCAGGTGGTGAGAGTAAAGCAGGGTCTGTAACCCAGATATGGTATTCACTGTATCTMAGCGAGGAAGACCATCAGTTTGTCGTGGCCGGCTTGCGTGACTTGATACAAATATCCAACCTTGAGGTCATCACGCATGGCACCATGAAGGTGGACGCTGACCAGTTCAACAGCCTCAAAAAGGTCTGGAAAACGTGGCTTGACCTTTCTGGGAAAAAGATTGACATTCAAGAGCAGAAAAGGCGGTCGATGGTTAAAGAGTGTATGGAAACGAGCTGGGGAGTTGAAACCTATTTTGGAACGATGCTATCCAAACATCGTYCGTCCGTCTATGACTGGTACGAAAAGAGCTTACTTTTGCCTGAAACCAGCAGAAAAAACCTGACAAAAGAAAACTTTACCTTGACTGGCTCGTCCTTGCAGTATGAAAAAAATACAGGTTCATTTGAATATTCGATGCCCGGATGTAGCTTTCCCTACCAGGGATGGGACTATAAAGTTGTCAGTGCTGTTTACCCTGAAGTGAAGTGTGCGAATGAGATGTACAGTAACTACATCACTGACGTTCTGAGAAAGTGTGCTRCACGACTGCAGAATGATGACATTCAA